AAACCCTGTACAAAAGGCCACACTTAGAGTAACCTGGTAAATATGACAACTGAGATTGAACCCCCAAATATGGAAACATAAAGAAGGAGGAAGATTTGGAGTAGACACTAGTGATTGGAATATGGAGTGTGAGAAGCATGAATGTAGGAAAACTTGACATTATTAAGAAAGAAATGGAACACATAAATATTGACATACTGGATAGTGGCAAAATGTGATGGACTGTCATGGGACATTTTTAATCTGACAATCATATGATCTACTGTGCTGGAGATGAAAAACAGCCTTGCTTAAAAAGTCATTTTTAGATCCAACTTGAAATACAATGTTGTGAGTGACAGGATAATATCCATACTCATACAGCGAAGTCCAGTGAATACCACTATCATTCAAGTATATGCATCAACAACCAGAGCCAAAGAGGAGGAAATAGACGATTTCCACTTACTTTTGCAGTCAGAAATTGATAAAAAATGAAATCAAGATACATTAATAATAATAGGTGGCCGCAATGGAATAGTTGGGAAATGAGAAAGATCAGTATCGGAAATAATGGACTTGGTGACAGAAATGAAGCTGGAGATAAAAATGATAAAATTCTGTACAATGAATAATTTATTCATTACCAGTACCTTTTATAAGAAACAAACGCAGACTATACACATGGATTTGACTTGAAAGTATGCACAGGAATCAGATCCATTACATCTGTGGACAGAATCTTTGGAGAAACTCAGTATTAGCTGTGAAAAGTGGGCCAGGTGCTGATTGTCGGATAGACCACCAACTACTCATGCATCTTCAAACTTAAAGCAGGTTAAATCAAAGCCACAGGAACCAAAATTTGATCTTGAATGTATCTTACCTGAATTTAAAGACCATCTCAGGAACAGATTTGAGGCCTTGAACACTAATGAATGAAGACCAGATGAGCTGTGGGAGGATATCAAGAATATCATTCATGAAGAATACAAAAGGTCATTACAAAGATAAAAGAAGACCAAAATGGATATCAGATGATATTCTGAATATTGCACTAGAGCGAAGGGAAGAAATCAAGAAATTAAGGAACTGAACAGAAGATTTCAAAGGGCAGCTTGGGAAGACAAAGCAAATTAATATAATAAAATTGCAATGAACTGGTGTTCAAAAATCAAAAGGTTCCAACTTGCTTGGCATTCGTTAAACTGAAGGAAGTAAGAAACCAAATTCAAGCCTCGAGTTGCAATATTTAAGGATACTATGGGCAGAATATTAAATGATCCAAGAAGCATTAGAAGAAGATGGAAAGATTACACAGTCCCTGAACCAAAAATAATTGGCTCACACAGAAGAATTTTATGAAACAACATATGATCAAGAGACAATGGTGATGAAGGAGGAAGTTCAAGCTGCTCTAAAGGCATTGACAACAAGGCCCCAGGAATTGACAGCATACCAGTTGACTGACTTCAACAAGCAGATGCTGTACTGAACATGCTCACCAAGTTGTACCAAGAAATGTGGAGGACAACTACCTGGCCAACAGACTGGAAGAGATCTGTATTTATTCCCATTCCAAAAAAAAGGGTGATCTGACAGAGTGTGGAAGTTTTCGAACAGTATCACTAATATCGCACACAAGCAAAATCCTCCTGAAAATTATAAAAAAATGACTGGAACAGTAGGTTAACAGACACAAGATACAAGTTGGATTTAGTGGAGCCGAGGCACTTAGAAACATTATCACCAGTGTCAGGTGGATCTTGGCTGGAAGCAAAGAGGTATGTCTTTCTGTGCTTCATTGGCTATGCAGAGGCATTTACTGTGTGGATCACAACAAACTGTGGTTAAGTTTGAGGAGAATAGGAATCCCAGGAATACTTGACTGTGTTCACGCAAAACTTAATACTTGGACCAGCAGGCATTTGTAAGAATAGAGCAAGAAAGAACTGCATGCTTCAGTTAAGAAAGGAATATGCGGTTCTCTTCCTGATTCCGCGCCCTTGTTTTTTTCCTGGACTATTGCTGATAACAAGATGTCTTCAGGAGTTGCCAAAATTGGGTACCCTGCCCCTAACTTCAAAGCTACAGCTGTTATGCCAGATGGTCAGTTCAAAGATATCAGTCTGTCTGACTACAAAGGAAAATATATTGTGTTCTTTTTTTACCCTCTTGACTTCACCTTTGTATGCCCTACGGAAATAATTGCATTCAGTGATAGGGCAGAAGAATTTAAGAAGCTCAACTGCCAAGTGATTGGTGCTTCTGTGGATTCTCACTTCTGTCACCTGGCTTGGATCAACACGCCCAAGAAACAAGGAGGGCTAGGACCCATGAACATTCCTTTAGTATCAGACCCCAAGCGCACCATTGCCCAGGACTATGGAGTCTTAAAGGCAGATGAAGGCATCTCATTCAGGGGCCCTTTCATCATTAATGATAAAAGGATCCTTAGACAGATCACTGTGAATGACCTCCCTGTTGGTCGTTCTGTGGATGAGATTCTAAGACTCGTTCAGGCCTTCCAGTTCACGGACAAACATGGGGAAGGGTGCCTAGCTGGATGGAAGCCTGGAAGTGATACCATCAAACCTGACGTCCAGAAGAATAAAGAGTATTTCTCTAAGCAGAAGTGAGCACTGGCCGACCCAAAGTGCCAGGCTGCAGTGGGCAGCATTGAGAACAAAACCATCTTTTGTACATTCTTTGTGCTTAAAACACAAGGTCCTAGACTTGGCCAAGATGTGGTGTGTGATAGGATAGGTCTTTTCCAGCAGAGGTTGGGCTGGATAATGTTCTTATGGCCTGAGCTATACTGTTGGATAGGCCAGCTGTTGTGTATTATGTACCAGTAGTAGTGGGACCTGAGAGTATTAATCTTTTATAGTTTCTATTAAACTTGTGAACCAAGAAAAAAAAAAAAAGAAAGGAATATGCCAGGAATGCATCCTAACTCCATACCTTTTCAATCTGTATGCAAAATATATCATTCAAGAGCCTGGACTTTATGAGGAGTAATGCAACATTAGGATTGGAGGAAGACTCATCAACAGCCAGTGTTGCAGATGATACAACCAACCTTGCTTGCCAAAACTGAGGAGGATCTAAAGGATTTGCTGCAGAAGTTCAAGGACTGTATTCTTCAATATGGATTGAAACTTAACATCAAGAAGACAAGATTCTCACCACTGGGTCAATTAGCACCATGATAGATGGAGAAGAGATTGAGGTGGTTAACAGTTTCAGCTTGCTCAGCTCCGCAATCAACGCTCTTGGTATCAGTAGCCAGGAAATCAAAAGACCAATTGCATGGGCAAGTCTGTTGTCAGGGACTTCTCTAGAGTACTAAGGAACAATGATGTCAGTCTAGAGAGTGCCTGAACCATGCCATGGTCTTTGCAGTTACATACTATGCGTCAGAGAGCTGGACAGTGACTAAGGATGAAAGAAGAAGAATTGATGCCTTTGAGTGTGGTACTGAAGAAGAATATTGAACATACCATGGACCACCAAGAAACAAATAAGTCTGTCTTGGAGAGGGTGAAATCAAGTTTCTCCTTGGAGGGTAGGATTTTGAAGCTTAGTCTCACATACTATGGGCAAGTGGCCAGGAGGGACAAGTCCTTGGAGAAGGATGTCTTATTTGGAAGGGTGGAGGTAAGCACTGGGAAGGAAGACCCTAGATGAGATGGATTGACATGATAACTGGGGCAATGGGATTAATGTATCAGAGTCAGTGATATTGACTCGGGACAGGACAGGCGTCAGAGCTACTGTATATAGGCTCTCTGTATTGCATTCGACTCGTTGGTACCTAACAACAACAACAACTTCCACAGAGCAGCTGGTAGATTCAAACCACATGCCTTAGGGTTGGCATCACAGTTTCTTATTCACTAGGCTATCATCAAATAACAAAGTGGGGAGAATATAAAGAGGATAAGATAAATATAAACATTTTAATCTACGTAATGCCTCCGTTTTCCACCCCCTCAATCCTTTCATCCTCTGGGCTAGAAAGAAGTAAATATAGTTAAAACACTTTAGGGAATGAACCTAAAGTGTTTGGTTTGTTTTTTTTTTTTTAAAGAAAAAAGAAATCTGCTTCTCACTAAGATCTTTAGGAGCCCAGCGTAATAGAGATGGGGGCATGCTAAGTTACTAACTAAAAAATCGATGGTTTTAATCCTTTCAGAAATACCTTAGAGTAAAGCCCCTTGTGGTCTCTGTTCGGAACAGCTATATAAACCGTGAGAGTTCAGGTCTGCTCTGAAATATATGAGATCACCAGAAGTTGGGATTCATAGCAGCTGCTTAGTCTTCAGGATTAGTGAACTGTTTAGTTCATACTTCACATTTATTGACTAAGTTATTATTAGTATCAAGATTCTCAAGCCTGAACTCATTGCCATCAAGTCAGAACCCACTTACAACTGATCTTTCAAGCAAGTTTCTCCAGTGTTATAAATCATAAGGCAGGGGCTTATACCTGTCTTTACACCTTAGTGACATATCAGGTAAGTTAGACCTTCTAACACAGGTTCTCATTTGAATCCTATCTGTACGTCATTTAAAATAGTGATCTTGTAGACCTACGTGGGCTTTTAAACTTGGTGGAGATTGTAACGATGGAGTAGGATTGGACAGAATTTTGATATCTTGTACATGGGGTCACTGTTAGTCAGCTCAGTGGTATCTAAGAATAATGTGTTGTTTGATTTAGGTTTTAAAAGGCCTTGGCAAATTCATTTTAGGAGTTTAGAGATGAAAGATTTGGTTTCTTTGAAGTGGTTTCTAAATTTAGGGAAATTATTGGAAGTTTTGATCCTTATTTAAAAACGTTGATTAATTAGTTGTAGTCTGAGCTATTATAATTACTAATATTTACATGATTTAGTAGTGGAAATTTGTTATTTAATGGACACGGTAGTCAATTTTTCTAAATTACATGCATTTTGCACTTTAAGGCTGATCCCTGTGACCTAATGAATTCTTGGTAAAAAGTGCGCTCAGCTAGGATGTTACACCACCATTGTCGAAGGAATCCTGAACTCCAGGAAGAACTGCAGATTCAAGCAGCAGTGGCCGCCGGCGATGTCCACACTGTGCGGAAGATGCTAGAGCAAGGCTATTCTCCAAATGGCCGAGATGCTAATGGGTGGACCCTTCTTCATTTCTCTGCTGCAAGAGGGAAAGAGAGATGTGTCCGAGTATTTCTAGAACATGGAGGTGAGTTCTCTAGAAGCAAACCTTTTTCCTCAAGTAGAAACTTAAAAGAGACATTGTATTTAAGTGAAAGGGGATGTATGTATTGGTGTGGTTGTAGTATTTTAATACTTCTCTTTCAAGCGCTTACTCTCTGATACATTTTTGTCTGAATTACCCTTATTTTGTTTAAAACCAGATAGTTTAAAATACCAGTTTGGTGAATGTTATTCCCCCCACCCCCTCAGTTGTAATCAATATACAGCCATGTTACCCTGCTATTCTAAGTAATTCCCTTCTTAGATTTGTCTGGTCACTTTTGCTGAAAAGCAGAAGTGACTGTGGTGCCCACCATTGGAGCACAACACTTGGTTCCTCATTGATAGTTGCCCAGCTAGATGGACTACATCCCTTCAGGTGCGGATTGTGACCCTATTGTAAAAAGTCTTCTTTTTGATGCTTCTCTTAATTTTAATGTGTTAGAGTACTAACCTTGTCTAGAATTATGTATAGCTTCTCAGTATCACACAAAAAGATTGGTTATCTAAGGTCTAATTTTGTATATGCGCATATGTTTGTGAAGACCTCGTGGCATGGTGGTTAAAAGTGTTTGGCAGCTAACTGATAGGTTAATGGTTGGAACCACACAAAGATGGTGCAGCAGTCTGTTTCCATAGATGCACAGCCTTGCAAACCTTATGGGACTGTTCTACTCTGATATGTAGGGGTGCCATAAGTCACATTAACTCAGTAGCAATTTTTTTACATAAACCACAGTGTGCGTATATAAATTATGGTGTAAACCAGCTTTGTTGAGTCAGTTCAGGATTCAGGTCACATTTTAGTTTTTTAAATGCTGATTAATGTTAATTCATTTTTATTTTTAGGGCCTACTTTATTATCAGTATAGATGTGCTTACTTGTACATAAAATCTGAGGCCTTCTTCAACTTTGATGAGGATTGTGTGAAGTGTGCTGACATAGAAATACTATGAATATATCAACTTATTGAAAGGTGGTATTAGATCTGAGACTCCTGACAGGATGCTATCCCAGGGTCATTCTAAATGGTAATCAAATACCAGGAATTGTCATCTGTTAGAGGGCCCAACTCTCTTTGTCATTTGTTCCTGCCTACCTTTCTTACTTGGACCTCATTTCCTCATTTTTTCCTAACTAGAGCTATCATCAGCCCCATTTTTCTGAGCTTAATGAAGGAGAAGAAAAAGTGGGAAGCCAGGAAAAAAGATGAGGAAATTAAAAGGTGGATGTAGTTGCAGAACACTTAAAATTATGGCAGTGCTTCATAAAACCAGAGTGACCAGAGTCACAAAACACATTTTTTTATTGAGCTAGTCCTGGGCAGCTTCCCTTTTACTTTTATTAGTATTTTTTGGTTAAAAATACATATAAGCAAACCTCACTTCTACTTAACAGCATCTAGATGACATTGTTTACATTATTCACTTGTGCCAACATTCTCATTATTTCTCTTCTGATTGTTTCACTCTCATTAACTTAAATTCTTTGTGCCACAGTCTTTTAAAGATAATTGTTCTCAGAAACAATGTCAAAGTTCAACAGGCAGCAAGCAACAAATACTGGCAACACTGTGGATAGATTAGAACTCTTTTTCACTGCTGATAGGGATGTAAAATGATACAACCATTATGAAAGGTGGTCTGGTGCTATCTCAGAAAGTTGGAAATAGAAATATGAATTGACCCAGCAATTCTGTTGCTGGAAATATATCTTAAAGAAATGTCAAACAGATATATGCACACCCATGTTTGTTATTGTGTTATTCACAATAGCAAAGAAATGTGAGCAACCCAAGTGCTCATTAATAAGCGAATGGATAGAAAAATTATGTTGCATCCACACAATGGAATACTATGTAGCATTGAAAAACAATGAAATAGTAAAACATTACACAAAATGGGGAAGACTTGAGGACTTTATGCTAAGTGAAGTATCTCAGTCACAAAAGGATAAACACTGCATAACACTGCTGTTATAAAATAGGCCATACATGGGGGGTGTTGGACAGGGACTGGGGAAAGAATGGATAGATAATGAACACTGCATTAGAATAGATTAAGGGAAGAACTATTGGAAAGGAATATATGAAGAAGCATTATTTGTATGAGAATCATTTAGAGCAAGGGGTGCATTACGGCATGGGTTAGGGGTGGCTGAGGGAAGGAGAAAATGTGCAACATGACTATATTAAAAAAACAAAAACATTTGTACATATAATCTTACATAGATGATTCTAAATTTCTTTAAAATGCAAAACTGTAACTTTTTTGAGCATATATTCATTTAAAGCTGACTTTAAGAGATAGTTTCAGTTCAGTATTTGAAGATCAGCTCAGAGTACTAAACTGAGGAATTCTGTTTTCATTAATACCACATAAGTTTGATTTCTTTTAAATATTAAAAGTTCTGTTTCACATTTTCTCCCTTATTATGAAGATCAATATATTATGTCTCTGATCAGGATATTACTAGTGGTATCTGAGTACTGTCTAATTCTAATCTCAAGGTAGAAGAGCCATGAAGACAAGAATTGATTCTTGAGTTTCTTTCTCTGTTTATCCAGAGAGAGAATAATAGTTGTGTGCCAGTCTTATATCTTAAAAAAATGTAATCAAACTAGAGCAAATAATTTATTTAAACCTGTTATCTGTTAGATATTTGTTCTCATTTTTCTGCTACTAGAATACCTTATAGAAATATCTTTTGACTACATATCTTTTTTTTTACATATTAGAATTTATCTTGTAGATAATTCTTAAATTTTCTACAAGTTGCCAAATCAAAAGGATGTAATTTTTTTTTAAAGAAACACAGATATTGATGGATTGTATTTCACAGTGGTTGCCATTGCTGTGTCTCTGCCAAGCAGGTGGAATAATGGCTGTGTTGCTAGCTGGCTTGTTCTTTTTTTTTTTTTTCCACATTTAGCATTTTTATTCAATTTTCTAGCAGACGATTTACATACCTGCCCCCTTCCTTTAGGTCAGTATGGCAATTTTCCAATATCAATTGTTTAAAGAGACTCTTTGGTAAAAAATGGAATCAGACAGGCCGGGGGGATAAATCTTTGCTGCTTTTAAAATATCAACACTTTCACAATTCTATTCTCACACACATCACACGCACACACACACAGGAGCATCTGCACGGTCGTGTTTTCAGTGTTTCTTGCGCGTGGGGAGGCAGGCAGCTGCAGATGGTCATGCTGGCTCAGTCTCCGAGGTTTGCTCAGCTTCACATTATTCGGAGGCCCTGGATGGAAGACTCCAAGGTCTTGAAATCCCAAGTTGTCATGGCTCCATCGATGCCAGTGGTGCAGAATTTACGACATTCTTGCTTGTCCACCTCATAAATGGACACCTGAGTGATGCTATTCTGGTGCAGCGTCTCCAAAGCCGTGTTGCGGTCCTCGGTGGTGGCCCGGTTGTCCATGTTGCGGAAGCGTTCCATGGCAGACGTGTTGCGCTGGATGCTCTGTTTCGGAATGTCCAGTTTGGAGACGAAGGTCAAGCAGCCACGGTCGTCATAGTTGAAGAGCATTGGGCAGCAGTCATGACCAGCAGCCATGACGCTGTTCTCCGACACAAATGACACGCTCAGGAGGGGCAGGAACTGTCTTCAGAGTGGAGACCTGCACGCTTTTGGAGGCATCGGCTACGGACACAGTGCTGTCGTGGCTGACCCAGGCCAGGCGGCTTCCGCTGGCGGAGAAGCTGACGCCGTGGACCCAGCCGCCCGTGCCACTGCCACCAAACTCGGACATTAGCTGGCCAAAAGGCATCTTGCTGCCCCATGGTGTACTGGCTGGCTTTTCATCCACTTCTTTAATGTAGGCAGAAAACACCCTGCACTTGAAGTCGCAGGAGCCTGCCGCCAGCAGAACGTTGTTGGGATGCCAGTCCAAGCTGAGGACTGTGGAGCGGATGGGCTTCTTAATGTGCTTCCTGACCCACCAGTCATTTTCGGACTCGAAGTAGCAGACGGAGATGAGCCGTGCCCCGCTGCGCACGGCAAACTTGTTCTCCAGCGGGGACCACTTCACGAATGTGGCTGCCCGGTTGATCCGCAGGATCACCAGGGTGGCCTTCCAGACGCCATCCTTCTGGCTCCAGACGTAGGCATTGCGGTCTGCCCCACACGTGACGATGCGGTTGCTCTTGGGTGCCCAGTCAATGCCTGTGATGTGTCCGTTGTGTTCCTTGAGCTCATGAGCTTTCACCCACTGGCTCCCGTTTTTCTTGTAGATGTGGACTTCATGATTATTGGGGCTCAGGGCAATCTGGGTGCGATCCCGATTCCAGGCATGGCAGGTGATTGGCTTGAGCAAAAACTGATGCAGGGACATTCTTCGTAGTGTTCTCGGAGGATAAAAAGCTGGGACCAGGGGCTGTCTGTCCAGGCGGGTGCAGAGCGGAGAATTCGCGGACTCTGGTCAGTGGGCGTGAACAAGCTCCGGCCTGGCTTGTTCTTTTGATGGATGTTATACTGAAGTGCTTGCCTTTTATTTTTTTTTAAATGATATACAGATAACAAAATACTACTAGAGGACTATGCTCATGTTTTATTTCTCCTAATTGGTTTATAGGAATCATTTCAATACATTTTCACTTGTTAATTACACATTCCAACCATCTCCCAGTTTACAGCCTTTCACAGTATTGATGTTGGTTTTGTTATTGTTAATGAGCAGAAGTCTCATCTATATCTTTATACACCTACAGAGAGTACCTTTTCAACCTATATGCAGAACAGATTATCCAGGAGCTGAGCTCTGTGAGGGAAAATGTGGCATAAATATCATTAAAAAAATCTGCATTATGCAGATGACACAACCCTGCTTGCTGAAACTGAGGAGGACCTGAAGTGCTTGCTGCAGAAGGTCAAGGACTACAGCTTTCAATATGAATTGAAGCTCAACATCAAGAAAACAAAGATTCTCACCACTGGACTAATTGACAGCATTATGATAGATGGTGAAGAGA